CGCGGCGGGAGCGCCTGTCGGGTAGGCAACGCGCTCACCCTCCGAGTGCGGCGGGTCGGCCCACCCCGCGCGGCAAAGAGCCCACCCCGGGTAGACTCGGATAAGGGATTATGCGGGATTCCTTTATGCACTGTGCCGGCGGGGATTTTTGGATGTTTGCGGTGACCACCACCCTTGGCTGTTAGGGGCGCACAGCGTGGTGGCTGGAGGACCCGCGCGCGCAGCCGGCGGGGATGGGCAGCCAGTGCATCGGGCACAGCCGCGGGCCGGGCGGCGGGCGGGGCCGCGGTTACAGTTAGCCTGCGTAGCGGGAGGGGCACGGCGGCGAGGCGGGGCGGGGTCAGGGCGCCGAGGCGCAGCGCGCCGCGGCAACGCCAGCCCCGCCAGCCAGTCCGGCGCAGACCAGGCGGCGAGAGAGTACAGCCCCGAGCGGCCGTAGCCAGCGCACCCGATAGTCGGCGCCGACGACGACGACGCGCGCGCGCGCAACAGTGAACAGTGACGACGACGGTCTCGGCGGCGGACAGACCCCCCACGCGCGCAGGTGGTCCGCCTCCCCCAGATCCTCGCCCTTCTGCTCGAAAAGGGCCAGCCAGGACCCTCCTCGCACCGGCAGTCCTCACTCAGCAGCCACCTCGCCTCCACCCACAGGCCCCCCTAACGGTGCAGCTGCTGCCAGCTGCGGCCACCAGTGCCCGTGGCCGTGTTCAGTGGTCTTGCCGCGCAGTGTACAACAAGTGTTCCAAATCAAGCAAAGTGGGACGAGACGCCGGTGCGAGCCGGCTCATCCGCAGGAGGAACGACGTACAGGTAAGAGACCCGGCGGGGCAGGTGTCACATCTACAGGGGGAAGGTGCCGCATCAACAGGCGGCAGTTGCCACATCTGCACGGGGAAGGGCCGCATCTGCAGGGGGAAGGTGCCGCATCTGCATGGAGCAGGTGCCGCATCAGCACAGCAGGCGGAAGGTGCTACATCTGCACGAGGCAGGTGCCGCATAAGAAGGGGGAAGGTGCGGCATCTGCAGGTGCCCCATGGGTGTGGTCGACCCCTGCGACACACTGCTCTGACCCCTCACGGGCAGATCGGAACACGCACATGACACGGTCCAGCTTCCCTTCTGATCTTTCTACCATCATTTTCCGTCGACGACGCGTTGTAAAAGGAAATGACAGAGTAGCGGATCTCCCGCTGCGAGCACGGCAGCAGAAGCGGTGCGGAAATTGGGAGAGAGGACGGAACGGAGACAGTAGGGGAAGGGGAAGGAGAGAGCTTGGAAGCGGTTCGGTTGGCGCGCTAAAAGTTCCACCGCCACCGCCAACCACCGCCGTCGCTTTCAAGAAAACAGAGGTACACTGTCACTGCAGGTGTTGCTTACTCTCTGTCGACTCAAAGGCATGCCGCACCGACTCTCTTTAATGAAGACACTATGGCAAAGTGTTCATTTGAGTTTGACTGACTGAATCGCACGGTATGGTGGGTCGCCCTAACCATCCGCACAGGACGAGGCGGCGACGATCTCCCACACAAAAACCCCAACAAAAACAACGAAAACAGACGACGACGACGACGACGACGACGACGACGACGACATCGGTTCTGCGTACCGCGAATCGAAACTAATCAGTTTCATTGAATCCGCGAGCGGCGCGGTGGTGGGGCGGGCGGCGCGCGTGAGCAGCGTGAGTCACGCCGTCGCGAGGGCACACGATCGCACCGCTGCTGCACAGCTGTAAGAGGAACACCACGTCGCACTTATTGAGCGAAACTGCACTGCTTTGCCTCTTTCGATGCGCCGCACCTACCACCAGACTTCCTCTCCAAGAATCTTCAATATACCAATACACACATACCGCACAACCTAGCCCCCTAGCCCCTCCCCCACCTTCCGCCCCTGCACAACAGTCATCGGTCACGCGAAAGCGAACGCAGGCAAAAGCTTGAGTCGACAAAACGCGAGTTAACAAAGAAAAATGAGACGACTCAAAACTCTATGCAGTTTTTCTTTTAATTTATTTTGAAACCGATTGCAAGGAAACATGAATCAGCTGACCTGCCGCTGCTACGCCGGGGGAAGTCGTCTACGTGACTGTGCGACGCCTTTTCTGGTCGAATGTGCAGGGAAGTCCGTATAGTCGCGCGGGGCG